ATAGTTGGAGATGTGATGTGCACATCTGGACAACAGCTAAACACAGTCATATGTGTGCCATCCAATCACAAGACCCCTGAGGAAGTGTGTTTATAGTGTTGAAAACTATTGAATATTTGTTGTTCAGCACAGACGTTTCCTTGTTTTATCTTAAAATTGAAAACATTTTGGTACAATACTCAACCTTAAACAACAGGATGTGTCAGTCCTCCATTATTGATCTATAAAGACTTACTTTAACTGTTATCAATAGTCAGCTGTTAGTGATCAGAATTAAGTAATCACTATAATTACACAATGCAGCAGATTATCGAACCAAGAATCGTTAACTGACTGTGATACAAAAACATGTAGTCATATAATGTAAAGGCAGGTAACAGAAACTGCTCTCCTTGCTGTCTCTGAGGAACTGCACATTGCTAAAGCAGCATCCCTCTCCTCTGTCATCATCCTTCTGGACCTGTCTGCTGCATTCGACACGGTGAACCATCAGATCCTCCTTCGCACTCTCCAAGAATTTTGAGTCAAAATTCTTGGAGAGTGCGAAGGAGGATCTGATGGTTCACCGTGTCGAATGCAGCAGACAGGTCCAGAAGGATGATGACAGAGGAGAGGGATGCTGCNTCCACACCATAAATTGCGCGTTCCAATGTTAATTTTATGTTTTATGTGTGGAAACATTGTCAAAAGATTCCTAAATCGTCGGCCATATAGAATGGTGACACTAATTCCCGAAATATTATAACGTGTATTAACCACAATAAATCATCCAGACGTGTTAAACCCCTTTATTAATTAACGGCCGGGCTTAAAAGACCTGTCTATTAACGCCTAAGGCCGTAAACGCTATAAACAAAAAAGTCGCTGGGTTGCCTTCAAATAACATTTACGCCGGTATAGAGGCCGATCCTTCCGCATAGTTGCACGAGGCAGAGATCGTGGGGGGGTCGGGCTCGATGCTCACTTTCTGATTTGCATGTACTTTGACAGGCACACCCAACGAAATTTCAGTTTCGAAGTCAAATTCGAAGTGGACAATCTACATTTGGATACCGTAACGATGGTGAGTTACAAACAAAAGTGTTGGTAGATCCTTTCGAGGAACCTTCGGTAAACCTTCATAAAGTTTTTTATGAACGTACCACTAACCTAGTTAGACAATAGTGGATATAGTGAAGCTAACATGTTACTTGAATGGTCGCAAAGGTCCCCCGGAGAGGAGTAACTGAAATAAGTCGAGCCCGCGGGACTGGGATGTCGCGGGTTTTTATGTATAAGCTCTCAAAAATAGCGAAACTACTTGTTTTCCTTTTTCTGTTGTAGGGCGACAACCCCGGTTTCTCAGACCTAAGAAAAGCCTCATAACTTCCTAGCAGGGTGTAGCTTCACGTGACGATGTGTTGTGCCTGCAGCGCTAGACGCCCCAAAATCACCTCGTGCGCGACACGTCGACACTCGTGTCTCGGAGCCGTCGCCGCTTTGACTCCGAGGCCACCATTTGACACCATGCTACTTCTCGGCTTTGTCGGCCGCGAAATTCTCTCAGGCTCTGGTTTACTAGGCAGAGTGATTACATTTTTCTTATGTAGATACTGCCGGTCAGTTTTTAAGTTTTGGTGGGGGAGGGCCTGCGAGAGTCGGGACCAGACCGCCTTTGTGACTGACCATGTACACCGACCCTCGTGTCGTGAAGACGTAACCACACCTACTGACTGTGTGTTCTTTGAACAACTGTAAAAAAAAAAAAACCGCGGTAAATTTAACGCTAAAGCTAAAGCTTAGCTGAATAGCAAGTCGGGATCATAAATCGTCGTAACCCGTATTGACACCAACAATATAAGACTTCAACAGTAAAGTTTACAAACTGGTAGAGCGGAGAGAAGTCCGAGGTGGAGATAGATACCTTTCTCGAAGAGCCGGTTCTTCTTCCGTCTTCTCTCGCCTCCGTTTCCAACGCCCTTCGGAGACTCAAGGTGTAAACAGGAGAAAAATTAGAAGACCTAATATAAAAAGGAGCAAAGTATAAACTACAACAAACTATGTGCAATATATATAGATGGCGTTAATAACTGTGTAATATATACCTGGCTGCTAAATCCGTAGAACTGTTACAGGATGTGTATTTTTTTTAATTATGTAACTTTTTTTTAAAATTATTATATCATAACTTAGTACTTTTTTTTTTAAATGCATGTCATATTATGTAACATTAAGCTGTCTGTGGCTCTTTTTCCTGCTGTAACTATATACATTTCCCCTCCGTGGGACTAATAAAGGTATTCTGATGATAGACTCAGTAAAACCCATTTTACCTTTTCCTTCTTCTTTTTTCCATCTTCCTCCTCTTCTGTTTTTATTTGCTTGTCTCTCTTTGATTTGGCTTCCTTGGACTTGGGTGAGAGACTTCTACGAAGGAGCATGAATTTAAAACAGATGTTAATAAATAGTTATGAGGAAAACATCCATTTGTTTTTTGCGCAATGAAAGTAAATCAACATGTGTGATGCATTTCTATTTCACTAAGTGTATTTCAGCATTCACATACCTGGACCTCCTGCCGCGATCTTTATCACGTCGATGGACGTCTCTTTCCTTGCGACCCCTTTCTCTGCCCAAATCTCTGTCCTTATCTTTGTCACGCTCCTTCTCTCTGTCTTTCATTCGTCGTTCTCTGTCATTAAAAACAAATATAATGTTTAGTATAATTTCATCATCATTCAAAATAGGGCTTGGTTATGCAAAAACGAAATGAAACAAAACTAGGACAAATGCTATAATGCAGTTTTTAAACGTTACTCATTTAGTCTAGCGTTAAAGACAGATATGTGCTGCATTTGAGTTACCTCTCTACAGATTTAGAGCGATTCCTTTCGCGAGGAACATTGCGTTTACGTTCTCGTGAACGGCTGCGTTTCCTCTCCCTGTCTTTGGACGCTGAGGAGTCAGCCTCCTTCTTCTCCTCCTTCTTCTCCTCCTTCTTCTCCTCCTTTTTCTCCTCCTTTTTCTCCTCCTTTTTCTCCTCCTTCTTCTCCTCCTTCTTCTCCGGGTCGGCCGCCATCTGTAAGGAGCATGTAGTTAGTGACAAATGTGCAGTCATTTCACATTCACTTACGGTAGTTACATTTTTGATAAGAAAAAGTGCTCTATTACATTTCAGGACAGACATTAATGAACAGCCTACAGTCAAGCTGCTATGGCACTTGCAATTTACTTTTACAGGTTTTCTTCACAGGGTCAGTAAATCTTATTTTTCCGATAAGACACTGGACACTGTTTTTCCCCTCAAATGTTCAATGTTTCCGGGGTCAGTTGTTTTGGAAACACTCTTCAACAACTTATAACTCGCTTAAAAGTATCTCTCCAAATGTTCAGATGGACAGTTACTACAAATGCAGTTGCAAAACATTTTTTACATTTTGAGTTTATACCCACATCAATCAGTAAATATATTGTCGCTTTGTTTATTTAACAAGCTGCTTATATTACAATGGTTTGTTTTATGATGAGTAATTGGTGATTGTTCATTTCTCGAGTAAGGAATCAACAAAGGATTTATCTCAACATTGATAAGAGTGTCAAAAAACGGAAAGCATCAATAATGTTAAACAACAAATCACATGTAAGCCTGTGTGAAGCATAGTACTGACTTTGGCAACATAACTATTAAAACAAAGCGTTTCCTTCTTCTAAACAAGACGAAACGAACCCTAAGTCAAGACCCAGGGAACATAGAGATGACCGCTTTATTATTTAGCATGCATTTATACGTTTCTGCAGCGAGTGTCTGAAGCTAACATGCATTTTAAGTCTGACGGAAAATGTTTCAGGCCTGATCTAATTTCACATAAAACTTGAACAGCCACAGTAAGAAAACTTAACGTGTCATAGGGACTTAAAATACAATCAAGTGTGTTAAATGGGAGTTACAAATGAATGCAGATAGAGTGAACAAGCTAGCTCCTTACGCTAGCTAACAACTTAGCAAAGAGGCTAATTTTCTCCAGTAAACTGCCAAAAGATTCAACGCTAAAACATCACGCGAGTCAGATGTTTATATTTTATACAACATCACAGTGAAATGTGTGGTTAAAAACATTTAAAACTTACCGTAATCACTTGTCAACAACACACTTGCGATGTATGTACGCTTCAAGAAGACGCCATTTTGGACACGAGCAAACGCTAGCAAGGGATTGTGGGAGTCGTAGTTCTGAGCGCTCCACACAGAAAGCAGCCTCGACTGTTTAAACTACACTTCCCAACAATGGATGGGATTTTCGCAGGTCCCCAATTGTTTGGCACAGCAACACATGTAGTGCCTGGGTGTAAAACATTTTAGATTTATTTCAGGCACAAGGTGGCAACCGTGTTACAAGTTAGCACTGAGGTTTAGATTAGAGAGTTTGATACTATATGATTAGGTATCATAGGCGTCATTTGACATGTCCCCCACCACTTTTTAAAAAGTTTAAATTATAAATGTTAAGAAAAATAGTGTGCACAAAGATATGTAATAAACAACAACACTGGTTTAGTGTCAAGATGTGCAACTTGGACATGTTAGTAAACTTTCAATAGAACATGTAATTTAAAAAAAACATTGCTCCCTCTGAGCAGCAGCAGGGTGCAGGCAATGCACTTAAAAAAAAACAGTAATGTAAATTAAAATAATAATTCCTCCTTAGTCTCCTTTGTTTGGCCTGTTTGGCCTTTTTGCTTTATTTTCTTGTCAGAGTACCACAATGCATATTTTACATGTTAAAAGAAAAAATATATATAATTGAATATACAGCCTGAAATGTTCTATCAGGCTCTGGATTCGAACCGTCAATCAGAGTTTATTTATTTAGCCCAATATCACAAATTGTGCTTTTGTCTCAGGGGGCTTTACAGTTTATACAAAACATGAATAGGCCATGCCCTGAAGTTCCCAGTGCTGTAATTTGTTAAAATAATTATTGAAGAGAGAAGAGTTTCCCCTTCACTGTGTACAACTTGACGCAAAGTTCCAAATAAAAGGGGGACTGGTCAGAGGAAGTCAAATAAAATATGAGAGCAACTGAAAGATATTGTTAAAGAGACGTGCACTTTCAGAGTAATTGAAAGTGCATTTGATATAAATGTTGTCGTATTGGGGTGGCTGTGGCTCAGTAGGTAGAGTGCTGGACTTTGAATCAGGGGGATAGTAAGTTTGAGTCCCACTGCAGTCAGCATGTCGTTGTGTCCCTGGGCAAGACACTTCACCCCCAATTGCTCCTGTGGGGATTGTCCACAGTACTGAATGTATGTAAGTTGCTTTGGATAAAAGCGTCTAACAAATGACATGTAATGTATCCACAGAATACAAGTCTACCAAGCAAAACAACATTGTGTGATACAGAAATTAATAAATGTAAGTGAAAATATATGTAGATGTTCATTTAAGATATATAATAAGGTGTGTTCTGTTTTATTCTCAATTTACATGTTTATATTTATACATTCATTTATATAATTTATTTCAATATTTATTTATTTTTTGTTGTGTTTATTTATTCTACTACTGTCCTGTTCTGTCCTCCATGCCTGTTTGCTCGTTATGTGGGTAAAGGTACCAATTCACTGGGTGTTCAATGTTTTATAAACACATTGGTGGTCTAGAGTTCTATGCATTGGTTTTTAATGCAGGTACTAGACGTTCAACACCCAGGGGAGGGACATCTTTTGTCTTCTGCTATGCTGATGTTAAATTGTCCCCACCATTTTTCTAACAAAGTGACGCCCATGGGTGTGTATATGTGTGCACATGTTTCTGCAGAAAGATAAAATACATTTTGCAGATGCTGCTATGCCTGACTGCAGTCCGGATTGGCCCAATGCTGATTTATATTCTGGGCCAGACGTTTTCATCCACAGGGAGATCAAGAGAGATTTATGAAGCACTTCTGAAGGTGAAACAGTTTCAGTAGAACAGATCAAAGTTGATGGTATGAAAGATACAAATAAAACACAAAGGGAGAAGACACAAGGGGAAGGAAACAATAGACTGGTTAGACTGTAAAATTCAGATTTGTAGTTTGTATGCTGAGCCGTGGTTCTTTCCTGTTTTCCCTGATTAACAAGTTTGGATAAAAGAGTGAGGATGAAGGCTGCACATAAAATGAATAATGGATTCCCTCTGCCTCATACAATAAATACTAATGTGCAAAGAGCTATTGTGTTCCTCAATGCAAGCAATATATTTTAGGGAAATTCCTCATCAAAGGTGTAACTAATGATCACTTAAACAATAGTTATTTTGTATTTAGTCATCAAAGTAAGCCTTTCAGTGAACAAGCATAACATGCAGAATACCATGGACCTGAAACTCGAATACCTAAATGTCATGCAGCCATGATTAAAGTTATTTGTTACACATGTGCTTTTATTGCGATTTCATGTTAACATATCAGACATGAAAAGTTCCCTTCAGATGGAGTTTTTCTCCATCTGAAGGGAACTTTGGGATTGGATCCTTTGCATGCAAAAACCTATATAACACACTACAGGAAACGGAAAACTCCATAAGCAAAATAGCGCCCCTTTACAGTAAGTCACCTGATGAGTAGACGGGTGAGCTCTGCAGACAACATGTGTTCAGGTGCAGATTGGCAGCTATGGAGAGATTTTTCTAAACGGAATCAGATGAAGATGATAGGATGAAACATGACACTTTTTCACTGACTAATCATGTTTATTTCTTTTAAAGAGAAATTGCACTCCAAAATATCATTGTATTATTCAACGCCCATGACTTTTGGCAGACATAAGTCACTTATACAGCATGCACAAATACTGTCTTGAAAAAACATGTGCTTCACCGTTGTCATGACTACTCTACGTTTGCCATGAGGAGCTTGTCTTATACAATATGTCTACTGTTGCCTCTAGCTATAGCTATGCATAGAGGGAGAATTATTGAATCTAACCAGTATACTTATTAGCATAATTCATCATCTCATCATTGGCCCAACTCATGCAGGCTTATTCGATTGAAGATTTTTCAGCACAGAAGTCCATTCAACTGCTTTGATATTCATCTTCAAATTAATTATGCATGTTTAAGAAGACATTTAACGGTTTAAATATCCTATAATAGTAACAATAACTTTATGTATTGAGCCTTTTTATACAATCAATGTAGCTGAACGAGCTCTACAAAAATACAGTTTAACATAGAAAATGAAATGAGATAATAAAAAGACAGCAGATTATAAAGTGTAATTTAAGTGAAAGTAAAAACAATAATTTACAAGGGAAGAAATTAAAGATGCAATGCAAACTTTTTAATGCAGTTTCACCATAAACGTGCCTTTACATTACATTACATTGCATTTAGCTGACGCTTTTATCCAAAGCGACTTACAATAAGTACATTCGACCAGGAAGAAACGGCCTTGAAGAAAACAGAATCATATAAGTATATCAGGTTTCACAGAGCCAAACATTTCAAGTGCTACTCAACTGGTTTTAGATGAGCCAGTCCTTTATTAGTATATAAGTGCTTTGTTAGTAATTCTATCGCTCGAAGTGGAGTCGAAAGAGATGAGTTTTCAGTCTGTGCCGGAAGATGTGTAAACAAGCTGTTTGGCTGATGCAGAG